TGAGATGTCAGAGAGAAGGGCAAGTCATGGCCATAGCTTACCTCCTCAGTAACTCAGCAGACCAGAGAGTTCATTCCTGTTTGCCCCTGTTATATTCTTCCCAACTATCTCATTTCCTATCTGTCTGTACAGACCTCTGTGGTAAGTTAGTGGCAAGCTTCATTCTCTGATTCTCAGTCAGCCTTTCTTTGTACAAGCAAGATATCACCACACAGTTCTGTTCAACTCCCAGAGGAGGACTCTGTGTCCCAGAGATGTTCAGTAGCTTTCTATTTTGGAGGGAACCTGAGTATTTGTAACACTGTTTGAATTCTTAACTCAGAAACTGTGACAATTGTGGTAACAGCATGGGTCACTTGAAGTCTTGTAGAATTGCAGAATTGTAATTGACCTTCCTTTCTCTCCACAGATCTCCAGGTTCTGTTGGACATATTCTGTGACAAAACTCCTTTCACCATATGTGCATCCTGTGACATCTAGGTAAGTGTCCAATGATGAGCGTTGCTGGAAGCACAGGGCCTAGGTACTGACATGGTGGTGGTAAACTGCTTCTCCTCCTTAATACGAGAGCCTTTATGGGACAGTAGCAGGGATTCAATTACAAGTGACAATTAGAGCTTACTAGGAGACCACACAGAATTCTACCTCAGGAAAATCACATGGGAGAAAAATGGATATTGCCCCTTCCTTGTTTTGTCCTGAATTTCGCAAAGATAAACCTGCTATTATCTGAGAGGCCACAGGTCTAGGGCTGGTGAATGAATATTTTTGCAGTATCATTCAATGTCTAAAATCAGCTTTCTCTTGTCTGTGCCTGGTCACAACGTGAGTCATGGACCCTCAACTCCTGACCTGCAGATGTGCACATTGAGTATTTGTGATATTGAAAGAGGAGTGTGTCTCTCAACATCCATCTCCCGGAAGATTACCACATCAATCCTGAGGTACAGAGAGCTCAGAGTTTACATAGCACATGATGGGGACACACTGTGGATGACCATTCAGTGGTCACTCTTCCAAATTCTAAGTGCCGACCACAACCCAAATCACCAACAATATCTGTGGAATCTAACGGAGGGTCCACTAGTGAAAGTTTCCCAGTGGGTAGATATTTTGAATTCCTGCCCCGGATCAACATAGACTGCTTTCCTTTCTGACAATGTTTAAAGTTAACTATACCTCGGTGTCTGCAGGATAACCCAGAGAACATGTCTGAAAGGGAAAGAAAGTGTCTCAGAAGAGCCTTGGGAAATGAATGTGTTCCTCTTTCTTTTTTTGTTTATTGGTTTTTATGAGACAGGGTTTCTCTGTATTATTTTGGATATTGATAAGGGTAGAGTCCATGGAGCCCTGGCCCAGGCAATCAGTAACTTAAAGAAGAAGACATTGAGGACATACAGTTGAACAATTCTCAGTGGTATTTGAGACAATGTACAAATAAGTAGTGAAGCACTCAATCAGAATTCGTATACAATTTCTATAAATTGGCATTCAGAACATTTTACATTTGCCTGAGAGATCTCCAAATTAATTGCTCTTCATTCCAACAGTTGCTATTCTAAAGGTGTTAGACCTTTGAATTTCATCTATAGAGTCATTAAAATCTAGTCTCATGCTCCAACACCTAATATAACAATCAGTAGGACATAACCTAGGAGAGATGTAAAGGGCAGGAGATTCCTCCAGGACCAGTGTCACCTTCCAGTATCTCCCATAACACTTCAGAGTTCCAGAAAGTTTATAGGGACATAGAGGAGACTGGAAACATGGAACAGGTAACAAAGCTAACCTTGTCACTGATGTTGCCATAGTCACTCATGTATTTTAAGGCAGAGAAAAGGGCTCTAGAACATTATTTAAGGACATAAAATATCGAACCCATTGGAAAATTGAAAACAGTCTCCATTTCAACTGACACCAATGTGAAGTTCACATAAATGTCATGGAAGATATCCACATATGATCCTGCCTGATATGGAGGAGAACATGTAGAAAAGAGAGCTCTGATTCCATGTGCGATGAAAATTCAGAAACTGGTACAGGGCTTGAGCAGACCCTTACCTATGACATCTAGAGAGAGCCTGAGACCTGATGCATCCCAGGAGAAAAAAAAATCCCTCTCAGTGAACACTGAGTCATTATGACAAGGGGGAAGTGTAGTGTGTGCTGTTTGCTGTGATGAAGGCTGATCCCTCTACCATTGGGTGGGATGGAGACAGCTGTCCTGAATCTCATAATAGCACTGTATTGGAGGGTAAAGTCAGGTGGGGAACCTTCAGGACCTGATACCTAGATACTCATGTGTGCTCTGCATGCTCCTCCACTATTAACTCCTTAAACATTGTCAGTTTAAGGACACGAATGACACTCACACACACTCATCACATAATTTTCAAGGGTCAGGCCTAGATAACTACTCCTGTTCTGACACATATGCCTCCTTACCTGATCAGGTACAATACAGTACTGGTTGTCAGAACCCATTGATCAACACTCATCACATACCATACAGCCTCAAATAATCCCTAAATATTGGCCATGCAGTAGTTCCCATCCAGCCACATGCTAAGTTCTAGGCATCAATTTTTGCTGAGCAAACAACCCCCATGCGGCTCATAGATCCCTAGGCATTGAACTCTGAATGACACTGACTGAACCCCACATTAAGTTCTAGTTTTTGGGCTGTGCTGGATAATCTGCCACTCTGACTAAAATCCTTAGCTCTTATTGGGCTCCAAAAGACACCATCACACCATGAAAGACAGACATGCACTGAAAGGTATCAGGCCCTCTTCTCTATACCACCACATAAGTGAGATTCTCCAGTGTTAATATCAGGTGTTGTAGGATACCTCATGACATCAACTCATATACGGGTTTAGGATGTTAAACTTGCTTGGTATTGAAACAACACTCAGGCCATGACACATCCTAAAATGATAGCTCAAGGCCCTTTAAATAATCATCCACCTACAGTAGTCTCAACTTCATTGATAAGTATCATGCCGGGTGACTACCATGATGCCTCACAATTACCCATCCATTTAGGTATCCCTGGATAACAGAGCAGCCTCTGCCAACCTACTCTAATATTAACAGGCCTGGATTGACACAAATTCATCCCATCATCTAACATATATTTAATACATAAGTTGCCCTGCTAGATGCCCTGTCCTACTCCTCCCCACTGATATGCATAGTTACTCATCAGAACCTTTAGACACCCACCACTCCTATGACCACGCATGTACTTCTGGGTATCAGGTGTTGTTTGACCTCCTACCACACAAACTACTAGCTGTCAGACTACGCTGTGAACTTCACCTCCTGTCACACTCATGAAAATGCCTGCCCAGTATTGACCCATTGGACATCCTACCTCTGTGCATGTCACAACTTCAGTGCCAGTCACCATTTCTGATGGACTCCTCCTGGACTCCTTCTCAAGCACACGAAGTGCTGTGGATCAGGTTCTACTAGTGTTACTGTGCCATGCTGTGTATTAACTTCTACTGCAGTGGCATACACAGTGATGTCTATCAAGTCACCTGACCTCCAACCTGCCATCCCATACGATGTGCTAAGGTTGAGACCAAGCTCATCACACATTCTTACCATATAATGCTGCCCAACAAACACTGCTATAAGCATGCCCAGATAGAACACACACACACACACACACACACACACACACACACTATGTGCCTGGTGCTTTTATGAATTTTGTCTCATATACTCAAAGGCAAGCACCTATGGATTTATAACTCACATATGATCTTACATTATCATTGTTCTGCTACAAAGTGGGAAGGTAAGTAGGCCATTCCACCCATGATGCTGAGTTCTACCTTAATTCCAGCAGTCATGGCTTTTCTATGACCAATGATGACCATAGGGGTCATACTTACAAGGAATCCTTGATCATGATGCAACCCTTGATGACAGCCACAGGTTCAGTGTGTAGCAGTGGCGAGTGTGGTGTGAACTGTTTTCCAGGAAACCTTCAGGTAGGGAGCAGCTCAGTGAGTTTTCAAGGGGAACTGAACTCAACAGGGATTCCCAGGCCCTGATCTGTGTGAATCATTACTGAAGGTAAGATTGAGTACAGTAAGTATCTTTTTGTGGGAGAGGGTGAGATTCAGAAGCCTGGTCTTGATGTCCTGAAGAAAAGGAGCATATCAGGTGGCCTATGCTAGAATAGCCAGCACAGAGGGACAGTTACCATTGACCTGCTTGACTGAAGAGTACTGACAGAATGAGACTGCGGAGGTGTGGAAAGAGAGGTGCTATCTTCTTTTTGAGCTTGGCATCCAGCTTCCCTTCTGATCATCTGATCCTGGCATTTTCTCAAGCAATGGTGCAAATTGAATTTGGTTGAGCACATCTTCATTCCTGCATGACGACATGTAGGTCGTGCTGTCACTTCCCTTCTAGAACCCTGACTATCTGATGAGTACCATGTGCACAGAACAAGTAGCAGCTTGCATAGTGGATTACAGGGATTTTCAGTTTGTGGGAATCACCTGTGCTCAGGCCTTGTTTCTCTTGCAGATCAATGATGCCAGGTTGAATCAGGAAATGAGACAGGGAAATATCCTGAATGCCCATTTTGTATTTTATATTTTGAGAGACGATTCCCTATGGTACCTGGCTAACTTGAGCCTCTCTGTGTAGAACAGGCAGATCTCAAAATCACAGAGATCCAAGCCAGCTTCGACTCCTGAGTGCTGTCTGTCTTCAAGAACTGTATAGCATCAATGGCAATTTCTTCCAAACATGTTAGGTAGAATCTTACCATTTTTTTCTTTTTTCATGTGGATAGGGTCAGGGTTGTACCTGAAGGAACATTCATCCAGGAAGGACTTGAAACAAGGGGCTAACTGCAAATGTGACCTGCAGAATAGATCTGTGTCCACCATGAACAGACCCCTAGAGGTGAGAAGTGTTGTCAGCAATTCTTTTGTGGACACAAGGCAGTGAACTGAAGGAGGTGTGTCCTAGCTGGTAGATCCTTGGATTTAAGGCACAGAGTATTAACGTGTAACAGTAACCCTGTTTCACATGACTTTCATATGATCCATCAGAATAGTGAAGATTGGCTCCTTGGTATGTTTGACTGAGTTCTTTCCTTTTAGGTCATCAGAACAAGTCGTAGAACCAAGGTGGGTCACCGAGATATTTGGTAGTTGTCTTGGGATTTTGAAGCCTGTGCTTTCACTTCAAGGGCACTAATGGTAGCAACACTGAAAAAATCCACATACTCTGGATAGGAGTTTCTGGTTGTCCTCATCCAACACAAGGAAGATTCCACTTTCCTGCTGACTTCCAGGGTTAGTCTTGTCATGGCCTCACATTGCCACATTTACTTGTCAAAATCTGTTTGGGTTGCACTTAGGCCATGGATCCCTGTTCATAGCTGCAGGCTAATGGGGAGTCCAAGGCAGCAGGTATCCTGATACTAAGCCAACTAGGACTCTCAGCAGCAGACTCTGGGCTGTCTGTGAGGGTAGAGGTGATCATTCCCCTCCTCAGTACACTGTGGATCATCCCAGGAGACCACTGTCCTATTACATGTCCTTAGTGTCCTGTCATTTGTTTGGATCTGATAGACCTTCAGATTTTACATAGGAAAGAAAAGAGGTGATTGGCTTTTTGGACTTGTTTATCACATATAATACAGTCATCTTAAGATGCATTGATTTCTGGAAAATTTCAAATACTGACCCTGAATATGTGCTGTTTGCCCCACATCCACTTCATATATTAATTTTATCTTTGTTTGTATTTGAAACTGTCATCTGTGCTTTGCAATTGGCACAATAACTTGTTTCTCTATATGTGTAGGTAAATTTACAAATCTGACTTCAAAATCACCAGACACACACTCTTCCCAGCTTCTATGTCGACTGACTGAGTTGAGATGGAGAGCATGAGAACCTGGGATACAGAGGCAGCAAGAGACAACTTGCAGAGGGAGGGTTTAGAGAGGATGGGAGAGACAGAATGGAGTCTTCATGGGGAGAGGGATGTGCAGAGGGTAAGAAGCATGGACACTGAGTGCTGCGTATTTCCGTTTCCCTTTCCATCCTATCCACATGTCCTTGTTTTTAAAGTGATGAACTCCATACATCAGGAGACACAGGCTGGAGATTTCCAGCTGTGGACTGAAAGAGCAGAAGTAGGAGCTATGCAGGAATTACAGATGGCAGTGTGCCCAGAACCCAGCATGAAGTGTCTGTGTCCAGCAAAGGAAGAGGTAAGCCATCTGCCACAGGTTTCTCCCACGGGTAGCCACAATTCTCAAGGAAAAATATTTCAGGGTTGGCCTTCTTCAGATTTGCAGTACAGGGGCCTCTGAGCCTATACCATGTCCACGCTGGCCATAGATGTACAGACTCTGTGAACCAGTCTTCAGAGAAACACCTCAGCAATACTCACTAATCTGTGCATCCCTTCAGGTTCTGCTCTTGGGGAAATATTTTCACCCATGAAGTCAAGTAAGCTCCTTCCTTACCTTCTTGCCTTACCCCTCCCTCCTGTTTTGTTTGCTGCCTTCATTTATCCCTGTGTACTGTCCATCAGAGAAGCAAAGTCACACTCCATGCTGGTCAAGGTTATGTGTGTGTGAGCAGACCTCACTAAAGGGAGTTTTCTCAGAACTATATTTGTCTCCTCACAGGAAGGTGACAGCAAGCTGGAGGAAAACGGGTATCACTGTGGATGGAATGCTGCGAGTTTGCTTCTCTTTGGAGGTGAGTAGGATTTACCTAGCCTAGGACACAGAGGCCAGAGTTGGGGTCAGTGTTCTTACAACTACTTTCATCCTATGTGTCACTGGGTACAGGGGTCAGGCTTGGACAGGTTGGGAGACCTTAGTGTTCATCTGTGGGCCCCACGTGTTATCACTGAGACCACTATGTACCAGCCTGTGATAGATGAGAAGTTTTTGTTGGGCAGTGTAAACCTGACTCTGATTGCAGGTAGGAAGCAGAAGGCTGGCTAGGGAGGTTTCCTCAATCCCAAAGGAATGTGTTCATTGAGCTCATGTTACAGAAGAGCAGAAAGAGAAAGTCAGCATCACCCTACATGTGGCTTCAGAGGGATGTTGAGAGAACTTGGTGCAGGTAGGACATGTCTCCTCTCTGACACTAACAGCATTGAGGAGGAAGAGCTTGAATCAAAGAGGGTGAACATCTTCTCACACCTGTGTATTATGATAGCAATAAGACATGATATTCACGACATTCTTTCTTTCAGTCCCAAGTGACTAAAATATGCTGTGTTTTATCACCAGGGGTATGAAGGTTCAATTTGCTAGCAAAAAACAGGCCCTGAACAATGAACTGTTTGTTGCTTGACACACAGCTCCTATGTTTGTCAGTAGGTACCACGAAAGCAGGCTTCAGTCCTGATGCCCTTAACTGACAACAATTCGTGGGTAAAAGATACTTGCCTACCATAGCAGGTCATGGAATCTCACAAGAGACAGCACAAGTGGACCCAGGGCTCCAAGCCCATGTGTTGTTCTCTGAGACTGTGAATCTCAGAAGAAGACATGATGCCGAAGAGAACAGATGAGCATAATATGCAATTTTATATGGCTGATCACAGTTTGGAGCATGTTGTGGCTTTTAGATTGTTATCTGAGAGAAGTCAGCAATGATAAGATTCACACACTTAACACCCTCCTGCCTCACTCTCTCTCTGATGGATGGAACAGGAAGAGGACAGTCAAAACCAGCTATTCATACACAATCTTTACACACACTACTCCAACTTTGTCAGTACTCTAATTGTCATTCTTAATTGTTCTAATTAATTAAAAGCAGTAGACTGATATGGAAGGAAATGATGAGATACCAGAGAGAAAGTGCAAGCCATGGCCATAGCTCACCTCCTCAGCGACTCTGGAGAAAAGAGCGTGAGTTCCCATTTCCCTGGGTTACATGCTGCCCAGCTATGTCAATTCATGTCTGTCTGTACAGAACTCTGTGGTTAGTTATTTGCAAGCTCCATTCTAGAATTCCTCAGTCAGGCAATGTTTTTACAGGAAAGATATCACCACACAGTTCTGTTCACATCCCAGGGGAGGAAACATAGTCCAAGAGATGTTCAGTAGCTTGCTCTTTTGGAGAGAGCATTACTGACTAGAACACTGTTCAAATTCCTTTGACTCAGATATGATAACAATTGAGGTAAAAGCCTGGGTCACTTGAATTCTCAGAGGTAAACTGCAGAATTGTAATTGACCTTCCTTTCTCACCGCAGATCTCCAGGTTCTGTTGGTCATATTGTGTGACAAAGCTCCTTTCACCTTATGTGCATCCTGTGTCATCTAGGTGAGTGTAGAACAGGATGGGGTACAGGAAGCACAGGACCCAGGTACACACATGGTGGTGGAAAACTGCTTCTCCTCCTTGATACTACAGCCTTGTTATGGGACAGTAGCAGGGAATCCAGGACAAGCTGGAATGGGAACATTCTAGGAGACAACATCGAATTCTACCTCAGAGCATCACTTGGGATGGAAATGGAGTTTGACTAGTCCTCATCAGGTACTGATTTTCAGCAATATAAAACTCCTATTAACTTAGCCCCACACAGTTATAGTTGGAGATTTCAACACACCACTCTCACCACTAGACAAGAATACCAAACAGAAACTCAACAAAGAAGCAAAAGGGCTAATAGAAGTAATGACCCAACTGGGATTAACAGATATCTATAGAACATTTCATCCACATAAAAAAGAATATACCTTCTTCTCACCACCACATGGAACCTTCTCAAAAATCGACCACATACTTGGCAACATATCAAACCTCAGCAGCTACAAAAAAATTGGAATAAGTCCATGCATCTTATCAGACCACCATGCTTTAAAATTAGAATTCAACAACAACACAAATTGCAGAAAACCTACAAACTCATGGAAATTGAATAATGCTCAACTGCACCATCCCTGGGTCAAAGAGGAAATAAAAAAAGAAATTAAAGACTTCCTCGAATTCAATGAGAATGAAGACACAACATACCCAAACCTATGGGACACTTTGAAAGCAGTGCTACGGGGAAGTTCATAGCGCTAAATGCTCACATGAAGAAACAGGAGAACAGTTATACCAGAGAATTAACATCACAGCTGAAAGCTCTAGAACACAAAGAAGCACACTCCCCAGGAGGAGTAGACACCAGGAAATAATCAAATTGAGGGCTGAAATCAATAAAGTAGAAACCAGGAAAACAATACAAAGAATCAACGCAACGAAGAGTTGGTTCTTTGAGAAAATCAACAAGATAGACAAACCTTTGTCCAAACTTACCAAACAGCAGAGAGTGAACACGCAAATTAACAAAATTAGAAATGAAAAGGGGGACATAACAACAGACACTGAGGAAATCCAGAGAATCATAGGTCATACTTTGAAAACCTGTACTCCACAAAATTCGAAAATTTAAAGGAAATGGATGACTTCCTGGACAGCTATCAATTGCCAAAACTAAATCAAGAACAGATAAGCAATTTAAATAGACCTATAACCCCTATGGAAATAGAAGCTGTCATCAAAAGTCTCCCAACCAAAAAAAGCCCAGGTCCAGATGGCCTCAGTGCAGAATTCTACCAGAAATTCAAAGAACAGCTTATACCAATTCTTCTCAAAGTGTTCCACACAATAGAAGCAGAAGGGTCTTTGCCAAACTCTTTCTATGAGGCTTCAATAACCTTGATCCCCAAGCCACATAATGATACAACTAAGAAAGAGAACTTCAGACCAATATCCCTCATGAACATTGATGCAAAAATACTCAATAACATACTGGCAAATCGGATCCAAGAACACATCAAAACAATCATTCACCACGATCAAGTAGGTTTCATCCCAGGAATGCAGGGATGGTTCAACATACGAAAACCCATCAATGTAATCCACCATATAAACAAGCTGAAAAACAAAAATCACATGATCATTTCACTAGATGCTGAAAAAGCCTTTGACAAAATCCAACACCCCTTCATGATAAAGGTCTTGGAGAGATCTGGGATAACAGGGACATACTTAAACATAATAAAAGCTATATACAGTAAACCAACAGCCAACATCAAACAAAATGGACAGAAACTCAACGCAATTCCTCTAAAATCAGGAACAAAACAAGGCTGTCCACTCTCTCCATACCTTTTCAACATGGTACTTGAAGTTCTAGCTATTGCCATACGACAAAAAATGGGGATCAAGGGGATACAAATTGGGAAGGAAGAGGTCAAACTTTCACTTTTTGCAGATGATATGATAGTTTACATCAATGACCCAAAGAACTCTACCAGGGAACTCTTACAGCTGATTAACACCTTCAGCAAAGTGGCAGGCTACAAGATCAACTCAAGAAAATCAGTAGCCCTACTATATACAGATGATAAAAGGGCTGAAAGAGAAATCAGAGAAACATCACCCTTTACAATTGCCACAAACAACATAAAATACCTTGGGGTAACGCTAACCAAACAAGTGAAAGACCTGTATCGTAAGAACTTTGAATCTTTAAAGAAAGAAATTAAAGAAGCCCTCAGAAAATGGAAAGATCTCCCATGCTCTTGGATAGGTAGGATCAATGTAGTAAAAATGGCAATCCTGCCAAAAGCAATCTACAGATTCAATGCAATCCCCATTAAAATCCCAGCACAGTTCTTCACAGACCTTGAAAGAACAATAATCAATTTTGTATGGAAAAACAAAAGACCCAGGATAGCCAAAACAACAATGCAACGTCCTGAGGCATCACCATCCCTGACCTCAAGCTCTATTATAGAGCTATAGTCCTGAAAACAGCTTGGTATTGGCACAAAAATAGACAGGTAGACCAATGGAATTGAATTGAAAATCCGGGTATTAACCCACACACGTACGAACATCTGATCTTTGACAAAGAAGCTAAAAATATACAATGGAATAAAGAAAGCATCTTCAACAAATGGTGCTGGCATAATTGGAGACTGGCATGTAGAAGAATGCAGATCGATCCATGTCTATCGCCATGCACAAAACTTAAGTCCAAATGGATCAAAGACCTCAACATAAATCCAGCCACACTGAACCTCTTAGAAGAGAAAGTGGGTGGTACCCTTGAACGAATTGGTACAGGAGACAGCTTCCTGAACATAACACCAGTAGCACAGGCAGTAAGATCAACAATTAATAAATGGGACCTACTGAAACTGAGAAGCTTCTGTAAGGCAAAGGACACAGTCAGCAAGACAAAAAGGCAGCCCACAGAATGGGAAAAAATATTCACTTATCCCACATCTGATAGAGGGTTGATCTCCAAAATTTACAAAGAACTCAAGAAGCAAGTCTCCAAAACACCAAAGGACCCTATTGAAAAGTGGGCTGCAGAACTAAATAGAGAGTTTTCAATAGAGGAGTCTAAAATGGCTGAGAGGCACTTGAGAAAGTGCTCAACATCCTTAGCCATCCGGGAAATGCAAATCAAAACAACTTTGAGATACCATCTCACTCCTGTCAGAATGGCTAAAATAAAAAACACCAATGACAATTTATGCTGGAGAGGATGTGGTGAAAGGGGGACACTCCTCCATTGCTGGTGGGAGTGCCAACTGGTTCAGCCACTTTGGAAATCAATATGGAGATTCCTCAGAAAAATGGGAATAAACCTACCACAAGACACAGCAACTCCACTCTTAGGCATATATCCAAAAGATGCCCATTCATACAACAAAGATATCTGTTCCACTATGTTTATAGCAGCATTATTTGTAATAGCCAGAACTTGGAAGCAACCTAGATGTCCCTCAACCGAAGAGTGGATAGAAAAAATGTGGTACATTTACACAATGGAGTACTATTCAGCAGAAAAAAACCAATGGAATCCTGAGATTCGCAGGCAAATTGATTACACTAGAAGAAACCATGCTGAGTGAGGTAACCCAGTCACAAAAAGAGAAACAGGACATGTACTCTCTCATATATGGATTTTAGACATGGATCTGGGGAGGGCCAGCCTACAATCCCATGGCCAGAGAGTCTGGGAAACAAAAACTTCATTTAGTGGCTGATGGAAGAAGAGGCAGACTCCTTCGGTTAAGTAATGAGCTGAATTCCAGAAAGCCAGTGAGAGAGAGGGAGAACTGATGACCAAGGGATTAAGACAGGGCTAGTTTAAACCCCAGAAAAAGCTGACCTGACAAAGGTTAACCCTTGAATCCCAGGCATCAGCCTGGGAATCCAGCATGAGACTGATCAAGACCCCATGAATGTGAGTGTCAGTGAGGAGGCCTAGGTAATCTATTTAGACTTGGGCAGCAGATCAGTACCCATCCCGAGTACACACACGGAGTTTGGACTCCCATCCTACAATGTGAGGTGCACTCTCCCACTGAACTCTTGGGGAAGGGTCTAGCCCCTGCCCTATATGAAATGACAGACTATGGACACCCCCATGGAGGGCCTCACCCTCCCTGGGGAAATGAGGGGATAATGGGGGGTTGGGAGGAGGGCAAGGGAGGAGGGGAGGGATAGGGAGAGGGACCTGGAACTGACTTATGAAGCAGCCTTGTTTCTTATATAAATTTAAACTGAAAAAAAGAATGAGATAAATGAACCAATATTTGAAAACAGTAAAAAAAAAAGAAAAATTGAACACAGTCTCCATTACAACTGACAACAAATCCAAACCCTATGAAGTTCACATAAAAGTCAGGGAAGATATCCACATAAGTTCCTCTGATGCCATGTGTCATGAAAATGCAGAAACTGAACATGGCTTTAGCAGACACTTCCCTTGGACATTTAGAGAGAGCTTGGCCCCTACACACCCCAGCAGAAAACAAATCCCTCTCAGTGCACAATGATTGGCTTTATTGAGGTGGAAGTGTAGCGTGTCCTGTGTGCTGGGATGAGGGTTGATACATCTCCCATTGTGTGGGATGGAGACAGCGGTCCATCTGGATCTCATAATAATACTGAGGGTAGATTCTGGTGGTGAAGCATCAGAGCCTGATACCTAGATACGCACCTGTGCTCTGCATGCTCCTCCCCTGTTAACACCTTAAACATTGTCAGTTTAAGGATATGAATGACACTCTCTTACACACACTCACCACATCGTTTTCTAGGAAACAGGCCTACATAACTCCTATCCTGACACATATGTCTCCATTTATGATTAGGTATAATACAGTGCTCTCACCTCTCTTGCCCTGCAAAGTGTCAGACCCCTCTGATCAACTCCCCTCACATACCATACAACCTCAAATACATCCCTAAATATTGACAAAACATTATTTCCCATTCAGCCACATAATAAGTGCTGGGTGTCAGTTCATGCTGAGCAAACAAACCCCCGTACCTCTTATAGATTCCTAAGCATTGAACCCTGAATGACACTCACTTTACCCCACATTAAAAGCTAGTTTTTGTGCTGTGCTGGATTAACTGCCACTCTGCTCAAAATGCACAGCTTTTAGTGGGCTCCACAGGATACTGTCACACCTTGGGACACTCACATGCACTGAAAGTTATTGAAAAACATTCA